GTGTATAGGGTTTCAAACAGGAAGAGGAAAAACACACACACACAGACACACACACACACACACACACACACACAGACACATCACAGTGAAATTTAAGGTTATAAAGACAGACCATCTTTAAAACTTCCAGAAAAAAAGGGCACATGAAGGAGAATCTGATTGACATTAGACATCTCAATAAGAATCATGATACAACATAATGGCTTAATTTCTTTTTACATTGTTGAAGCGAAAGAACTCCAAACCTACAATTTTTATATCCAGTTAAACTATCATTTAAATGAATGGAAAATGAAGATATTATGAGGCATGTTGTTATTGTTGGTTGCCATCAATTCCAACTCATGGCAACCCCATGTGTGCAGAGTAGGACTGCTCCGTAGGGTTTTCAAGGCCGTGACCTTTTGGAAGCAGATCACCAAGCCTGTCATCCAAGGCACCTTTGGGTGGGTTCAAACCCATCAATCTTTCAGCTAGCAGTTGAGCACTTAACCATTTGCACCACCCAGGGACTCCTATACAAGGCTGCAAAAGGTTTACTACTTAAATACCATCTTTGAAGATACTCTTGGAGGTGATATTCTGACAAGAGAAATAAACTCAGGAGAGTACTATGTACTTCGAAGGAAGGGTGAGTAATTGACTCAGAAGTTTACTGTTATTTAAGTGACAAGAGACCCAAAAGAAGTACATACTGACATAATTAAAACCTTAAGTAATACCAGAAAATCAAGTGTGGTTGGTGATGACGACAAAAAAGAAATGAAACTATGCTAAATAATAATAGTTTATATACTTGAAATATCATAGAGAAAAATAAACAAAAATAGAGGTATTAATGTAGGGGTAACCACAAAAATTTTTTAAAATGGTGCCTCTGAGTCAGTAGAGGTAAATTTGATCAATTCAATGGAAGTCAGAAAAGGAAGAAAAAAGAAACAAAATGTATGGTAAACATAAAAAATTAATAAGATGGCAGAAATAATTTCCAGTAGAAAACGTTATAATGTAAATGTGTTAACTTCACCAAGCAAAAGGAGAGAATCTTAAGTTGGAAACAAATTAGATTCAGCAATATTTTGCTAACAGAAGGCAGAGTTTTAAAAAAAGAAATGAAAAAAACTTGAAAAGGGGCCCAGTACAGCTAGATGGTGCCCGGCTACCACCACTGACTGCTCTGACCAGGATCACAACAGAGGGTTCTGGACAGAGCTGGA